TAACTTTGTGTCTCATTAATATTTAACTCTAGGTATATCTTTAGCAAACAGGAGAGAGGCTATTAAAGTCCCCTGTTTTCTAACTGAGTATTCTAAGTGTCCTAGACTTGCAATTTAAACAAAACCAGGAGCCTGGAGTGGTAACTGCTGCAAGATCAAACAGTGTTGGGTTCCTTTCTTGCTGTTTCCTTATGTGATTGCCCTTTCCCTTTGTCTCAGGTGTTTCACCTTTTCCCCAGATTATATGTGGGACCCAGGTATCCTGGCTAATGCCCCCATGAGGTCAGGCTGCACATGGGGAATAGATTTCAGTGCAAAGGTGTCCAGGAAAAGCCTCCATAACATGCCACCAGCTCACAGAAAGATCAGAGGGCTTCTCAGGACGTATTCCATGGGCTAAAGTGAAAAGCTTTAGGATCAAGATAATGTGTATTCTGTCTCCCAATAGCAGTCATATGATTTGGGAGCTTATGAGCTGATGTCAGGAGAAAAAATATTTCATTTCTCACCTTTCACAGCCTTGGCCAGAAATGTAAACTTTCAAGAGATTTTATTAGTCACATTGCCTATTTCTGGTCTTATGAGGAAGAAATAGATGAAGTTCATGGATGACTCACTGAACTGCAATCAACGTGTTGGGACGTTGCAAACTGTCCCGCACAATGCATGTTTTGGTGGGTTGTGTTTTGCTGTAATGGCTGCAAAGTGCATGCTAAGAGAGTGAGTGACTGAACTTAAAAAGGAGAAAGGTTGGCAGAAGCCCTGGTGTCTTCGCTGGGTTGGAGAGGATTTTGGACTTGTCTCTGTAGACAATGAGAAACCATTTGTTGAAAGGTTTTAAGCTTACAAGTGAAACAGACCTGGTTTTAGGAAAGGGATTCCAACAGCAGGTACAGGAGAGAGAATGGAGACCAGGAGATTAATTAAGAAATTTGGGTAATAATCCAACGTAGAGTCCAAATTTCGGCAGCAGAAATGAAGAGTAATGGTGAAAAGAACACTGAGAGAAAGGAAAAAAACTAGGTGAGAGAAAGGCGAATGGTAGTGGGAGACCTATTCCCCTAACTCACCTGACTCCAAACAAGTTGTGTGATTTGAATAGCTTCTCCCTAACCTGATGAGCACACGGGGTGGGACATCTTTTATGCTCTTTACAAATCTGAGCATTTAAAGCAGAACCTCTCAGGAGTGTATCCCATTAGCAGCACTTAGGGAGCCTTTTAACATTAATGATTCCTGGGCACTATGCCACACTCTCTCCTTGTTCCCAGTTCCATGGGGTACACTTTCTTGGTCAACAAAATCATTGCTTTAAAATGAAATAACATCAATAAATACACAATCCAGACATTAAAATGATGAGCATTCCTTAACTCTTCAGAGGCCTTACCATACCACACATTTTTAAATTGTCCCAAACAGAAATAAGCAATATGTTTTTTGCCTGTTCAAATATTTGAAATATACTTCTTGTTTTATGATTATTTATAGTGGTCCATTGACTGCTTATCACACATTTTCTTTTGGATATAATTGAAAAAAAGAGTCAGTGAAGAATAATTAAAAACATATACTTGCCAGATTAATAAATGATATAAGATAAAATAACATACTTGTCCAGTTATTCTCCCACCTGATGTTCATGAGAATTATGTCTGGTGAGTGCTTAACATTCACCTTCTGACATCTGTCTTTAGAAATTCATATTCAATAGGAATATAGAAGCCAGAAACTGAATTGTGTTCAGCGGAATTGTATTTCCCAGGTAATTCTGATATGGGTGGCCCATGGGCCATGCTTTAGGAAACATGCCATCTCTCTTTTGCACTTGGCTCAGAGTGTAAAATGTGTCTGACTTTTGCCTCATCTACAAAGACTTTTTTATTCCTCCTTCACTGAATTCAGGTGTCATCACTAGTTTCATCATGGAAATAAGGCACATCAAAGCTATAAGGGAAAATCTTTTGACGTTTTATACTGTGGGTAGAGCTGCAGACCAGGGAGGACTCAGGAGGGCCTGCTTTCAGAATGTTCTAATGCTAGCTTCCCTGACTGTGGGCTGCCTCTGGCCCCAGGAGGTGGGTATTTGCAGGAAGTGTACTTCACGCTCATAGGGGTTACAAGACTATGGCATTTACTGTCAGACTCAGTCCAAGATCCAAGAGGGTAATAAGTTGTGATTCATGACAAGAGTAGCTCCAAAGTCTGGGGCAGAAAGTTGAGTCAGGATCCTGGTGAAATGGTCAGGAGGAACACTTAAGAGGCAAACCAGTCCCAAGACTGCTCAGACAGCCTGGAGTGGACACGAGGAGGGCCTGCAGTTTGCAAACAAAATAAATACTAATGTTCAGGTCTCCTCCCAGATGAACTAAAGCAGTAACTCTGGAGGAAGATCCAAGAATAGGTATCCTGAAAGTCCTCCAGGTGAGTTATGTGAAGCCAAGGTCTCCTCCTCTAAATACCTCCTTTCTCTAATAGTTGCCCTGACTGATGTTCATTGGCGCCGTCGCAGTACCTTTGTTAAATACCTACTGATCTTTCAAGACTTAGCTCAGACTCTGTAATGATGTCTCTGTTTATCCCTATCTTAACATCTTTCTTCCTGTGTGCTTTATTACACACACACACACACACACACACACACACACACACACACACAGAGTTTTATCACAGAACTTGTAAATTTCATACATTTATTTATCTCCTCCATTTGGCTCCTGCAGGGCATGACTTATATGTCTTCATATCCCCATCCCCCACTTGGCACATAGTCTGGCAGATGACACATTAATAAGTGCTTACTGAATTCTTCAGAATTCAATAAATATTTATTTAATACATATTTAACCACTATGTAACTTATTTTCAACTCTGCAAAAGGAAAAGACTGAACTATTTTGTCTCTAACTCTTAATCCCTTTGAGTTCTAAAATTCTGTAATTTTTTTTCTCGCTGTATCACACACAAAATATGTGTATGATCCCAGAAGTAAGGCTTGAGGCCTACGCTTCCCAAACTTTAATATGCATGCTACTTGCCTGGGGATCTTGTTATAACACAAATTATAATTTGGTAGATCTGGGATGAGACCTGAGATTCTATATTTTTAGTAAGCTCTCTGATCATGTTGGTGCATCTGGTCAAGGATGACGCTTACAGTAGCACAATTTTAGGAGATAGAGACTGATTCCAGCCATCACTGCATTCACCTCATACAGTACAAGGCAGATGAGGCACTTCTAGCACCAGACAGCCTGGTTTCAGGTCCTGGCCCGGACACTCCTGGTAGACAAGGAGTCATCATAACTTATTTGTGCCTCTACATCCCTCATCTGTAGCAGAGGAAATAACGCAGGGTTTCTGTGATATTAATGACTTAATTGACATGCAATCCTTATAGTAATACTTCACACGGCAGGTACAGGACACATAACTACAGTTTCCCTCTTTTTCAGTCTGCCTTTCAGTGGTGATCAGTTCTATATCTTCAGGAACCTTGATTTTTTTTTAATCCTGAAAACAGGAGAAAGAAGGTATTTTTCCTTCCCCAAATTCAGGAAGCAAATAATGGATCCATAGACGAAGAAAGGATTAGAAGAGAGAAAGAAACTCAACTTCATCCACCAGTAACATCATTCGCTGCCATTTCATCCCACCACTGCCCCACTGCAACATTGAAAAGATGTAATACTGCTATTTTAGAAAAAGTAAAACACAGGGATAAAATCCATAATAAAAAGAAACTCTGGCCAGATTATACAAATTGACATTTAGTACAGCATAAATATCAGCATAAAAAACCACTTTTCTTTTAATAACAAGATGCAAAGCTCATTTCCTGACACAAAGGTATCAGTACTTCAGTAGGCCCATTGTTTTTTAATAAGAGGCATCAAACTCTTCGGGAATTGTCTGAATGCCAGAAGGTTCACCTCAACCTAAAATAATTTAATGGCAACCATCAGGCTGCTTCAAAGGACAGAAAGAAAGATCAGGAAGCGAAAACAACAAAAACAAACAGAAACAATCTGACATTATTAGGTATCTTGTGTTACCTCAAGGAGAAAGAGAAAAAGGAACAAAGTTCCAGAACAATCATTATAGAGTCTTTTTATGTGTCAAGTGCTTTATACATCTGAGTTTTAAGCATCCAATAACACTGTCTGTGGAAGGGATCCTGAACCTCATTTTACACAGTAGGAACCTGAGAGTAAAAGAGGGTATACTTGCCAGACCTAGATTTGGCCGAGTGGGACTTGAATCTCCCACTAGTGAACCCTCCATGGTACCGGCTAGCCCCATCTCCTGAAACAAACTTGAGAGAACCTCCAGATCTGAGCCTTCTCAAGTTTAAATCCCAGTTAGGGTCATATAATAAATAACAAGCCAGGACAAAAATCAAGTAGAAATGGATTCCTTAATACAGCTGAAATTGTGCCAAAGACACATTCCACCTTTTCACAGTTTTCACTGAAAGAGTAAATCCTAGGACCGGAGCAAGTTAGTCAGGCTTGTTTTCCATCCTGTTGGTTTGGTTTACATTTCCCCTGGATTCCAGCCAGGTGCTATGTGGTATGTGCCATCCCTGCTTTTGCTTTAAGGTACATTTAGTGAAGAATGTCTGCTTTGCTGGGTGGTGCAAAGTGCACAACTCACCAGTAGCTTGAGTTCTGCCCCTGGCTGCTGCTTGCGTTAAAACAGACAGTGCTTCAGTTGCCAGTTGCTTTGATTACTATCCATTCTATCGGGCCTCTGAGCCCTTGTTAAGTGAAGAAGGTTAACCCAGTGGGGAACAAATGCAGGGCTTTGAAAGACGGTTGGGTTAACACTCAGAGTTTAGTTGACCGACAGTTCCAGCTGTTACTTACTCATTTCTAAGCAAAACAGAATAGAACACTTGAGCTATTTGTTTAATCTTTATCTCATTACGGCACAAGGTCCTTTTAATACTCCAGTTTATATACATTCAGAGATTACATTACTTACTTTTAACACTGAACCTAACATGTTCCTCTTGGTTTGGCCACAGTGAGGAAAACCTTACTCCGAGTTAAAATTTTCAGAGTCTGTATTTCACACTTAGTGAAGTCCAGTGATTTCTTCTTCAGTTATAAGCTCCTGTGTTAGAAAAAAGAAAATCACTAATAATGATGCTTTAAGAGGATCAACTTGACAATGTTTCATCATTTTGGCTTTTCCTAAATGAAACTATCCAAATATTTGTATTGTAACTTTGTTTTTCATAGAATACATGTATCGAGGGAGAATAAAAGTCATATTTTATAATAATTAGCATGTCAATAATTTTCAAAATGCTGTAAAGAAGTACTAGAAATGGGAAGTCACCGCAAATTACAGCTTTATTTCTAAAACAAAACCTAGGGATAAGGTATTCTAATAAATAAAGTATTACTATCTATATTGGATATAAATTAAATATTTTCAAAGAATTAGAATTTTCTAAACAGTGAAGTGACTTGAAAAACATATTTTAATCTTTCTATAACAAATCAGAAGATATTTAATACTCTGACACATTTTCAGGATCATCATAATAAACACTCCTTAACATAATTTAACTTGGTACTGCCAACACACAGATGTCATTTTAAGAGAAATACCATGTTAATAGAGTGGCCAGTAAACCATATTTCACTGCACACATAATATATTGCAAGATATGTCTTTGTGTTTTCATTTGAAATGTGTTATTGAGAAATAACTATTTTAGTGCTCATGAACTTCCACACACTATGGTTAATAAAAATGCAGAAGTATATGATTTCATGCTGTCATTTCAAAAGTGGGATTTGTCATGAAAAGAATATTCCTTACTGAAATCCTATGTGACAATAAGAGCCAAACAAGAGCCACAGCTGACATATATGAAAGCAAATCTAAGAGGTTTAATGTTTTCTTATAAACTGATTCTCAGTCTAAGTAAACTTCCCATTCAACTTAAAATTTGTAAGGAATTAACCAATTTTTCTATATAAATTGGTAACAAAAAAACAGATATGCTTATAAAACTATGTGAAGTTATTATGAGTCTTGAGAGAAATGTGTGTTTGCAATTTTACAAAATAATCTCTTTGGGAGGATTTATCTGGTAACGAATATTGATAGATTGATACAAGTGCAGCTATTTTTTAAATGACTGCATGAAGGCAATCAATTGCATTTACTGAATGCATTAAACTTCCACCAAACTTTAAAACAGAAATATTGACTGGAACATGTACATCCATTATTTCATAATAAAAGCAGACATATTCTTAACATTTCAGTCATACAGAGATTTGTAAAATGTTAAATTCCTTTATAATAAAAAGATAATTGCTGGGAAGCTGACTCAAGGGTGGAGAATAAGGCCATTCTTCTCATCAAATGGCTCAAAAGGAAAAACTCTTGAAAAAACACAGCTTCCAATTAAGAACCATCGAACAATGAGGACAAAAATCAGACTTGCCCCATAATCATGGAAGAACTTCATGAAGCCAGTTTATCTGGGAAGTAGTTCTATAACTGTGTTCTCAGCAAGGTCTTTATAATTTGTATTTATAGAGAACTAGTTACGATTCTATAATCCCAATTGTCATATTAGCTACATATTTCAATCCTGCTTTCCTGAACTCCACCTTCAAAACATATTTTTATTAAAATGGGTTTATAATTTCAAAACTCATCTTCTAATAGTGTACTAATGATTATGTAATCAACTTGAAGAGATATATATAGTTAATCAAAAGTTAAAAATAAAACATGTTGAGGGCAGGACAAGATGGCAGTGTGAGTAGAGCAGCAGAAATCTCCTCCCCAAACCACATTTATCTATGAAAATACAACAAAGAAAACTCTTCCTAAAATAGAGACCAGAGGACACAGGACAACATCCAGACCACATCTACACCTGCGAGAACCCAGCACCTCCAGAAGGGGGTAAGATACAAGCTCCAGCCCGGTGAGACCCGAGCACCCCTCCCCCCAGCTCCTGGCAGGTGGAGAGGAGTCAGCACGGAGGGAGAGGGAGCCCAGGACTGCTGAACACCCAGCCCCAGCCATCCAGACCAGAGTGCAGACTCAGTGCATGTGTGGGGTCCTGGATACTAGGGAAACAGGGCGGCAGGACCGGTGAGCGGATGCCTGAGGCCGACGCTTTTTTTTTTTTTTTTTTTTT